GTTTATGATGATTAATAAATCTCTGGCAAGATTCTGGATCAAAGCAGTTTGCAAGGCTCTTCTCCCAAATTTCTCCTCACAGCAACAACCCTGTAAATCAGGCTAGGCTGAGAGTACATGACTAGCTCAAGACCCCCCAGTGAACTCCATGGCCAAGTGGGGACCGGTCCCTTAACTACTGAGTCCCAAGTGAAGCCCAAAAATCAACTGCATCCCCCTGAAACCCAGGCTTCGATTCCCTAAGGACCCAAACCCCTGGGTCTGCATTGGCAGATTGGTCTGTCTCAGTGACTCACCTTTTTGCTTTTTGTTTTAAATCTCAAATTCTTTCTGTCTTGAATATGAAGAAACTTTGCTGGTTTCTGTATAATGCAGCTGAACGAATTCTTACCTATCTCTAAGAAGATATTTTCACTGGGCATCATTTGCAGCAGGAAGGAGAAAAAATGTTTGATATCCTAAAGTACTTATATTGCAATTGTATACAACCCATTGAACTCAAATGTGCTTACTCAAGTTTAGGGATGGACTTATCCCTCAGTGTTGTATTCTCTCACATTGAATGAATTTGTAAATTGCTCACAAATTCCCACTGTTCTCCACTTGCCAAATTCAACAGGTTTACTTGTTCCAAGTACATTTATGTTATTTCTGTCTAGCATTTACTGTTAAAAATGAGAAGACTGGGGGGGGGGGGGTTGAGATTGAGATTGAGATTAAAGACAGACACACAATAACCTGTCCGTGAAATTCTCATTTCTACTCAGAAATTGTTCCATGAAATTTGGCTCATTCATCAGGGGTGATGTTCATGGTCCCACAATCCACCATCCAACCACAGCCACTCTGAGAACAGGAGGTGAGGGAGGCAGAGGCAAGTAGACCTGCTCTGTGTTTGTTTACATCTTACTTGTGGTGCAGGCTTTCTTTTCCTTGGTCCTTCTGGCCTGAAACCTGATGGGGAGGATGTCATGCCTGAGACCCTCCTTAATGACCTACTTTCTCCCTGTCCTCTATTGCTTTATAGAATATCTGGACCTTCCTCTTGCACTAACACTATTGTTAGCAGATTGCAGGAAGGGTTAAAGAGCCAGAAGGGAATACCTTGTAGCTTCAAAACGCAATGCAAGACCAAGGAAAACTGTGGGTGATGGAGAATAATTGGTAAGCAAACACAAATTAGGACATGATGGATCACCTGTGAACATAAGGTGCACCAATTCATGCCACCTCTGCACTGCTTTGTACCCAGACCTGGCAGACCTAGCACTGACCACAGGTTCTGCTGAGGAATGGGAAAGCAGACAATGCCTCCCACCATATTTCTCTCTTCTGCACTCCACACAGAGGGGAATGGAGCATTTGGGGAGGGGAGATGCGCTCTGCTCATTCCCATAAGTTGTTAGCAGGGTGGGCAGGATCCAGCCTCTTGGCCTCACAAGAAATTGTGAATGAGAGCTTGTTCTTCTGCAGTATGCTGCTGCCCCAGGTCCCAGATGGGGCCTGTGGAGATAGTAAGCTGCAGGACCTGGTGGCTACTCCATGCAATCATGCAGGAGTGAGCAAGACTGCTGGATCTTGACCTGTCAGATGCCTACACTTGAATAGCACAGGAATGCCCTATTCCTGTGCAGTTCTTCATGTTGTCTGAATGTTGAACTCCTTGTTGTTGAGGAAGACACAACCTGTAGTATTAATGCAAGAACAAACCATCACTTAAAATTCTGATGAGTTTCCCACTCTACAACCCAGAGCTCCACATCCAGAAAATCAAAAGGATGCAGGAATGGAACATTCCTGAGTTGTTTAGTAATGCAAGAGCAGGCAAATATAGTAGCCATATGCCTACTAAAAGAACCTATGACAGGTTAACAAACCATGGGTTGTTTAATTATATGAAATATGGCAGTCTTCTACATTGTGATTCCATCTTTAGTGGAGACCTGAAGAACGACCAGCATGTCTTTCTGTGGCATTTGCAGTGAAAGAGGTCAATGCAAAGCTCAAGATGTTACCAAATGTCAGCCTGGGATTCCACATCTATGACAGTTACCTAAGAGAATGGATGACTTATCAGAACAGTCCAAAATGTCTTTCCAGTTGGAAAAGGATGGTTCCCAATTACAGCTGTGGAAAGGAAAAGAAATTGATAGCTCTCCTTGGAGGTTTAAACTCCTCAGTTTCCCTCCACATGGCTGCTCTCATAGGCATCTACAAAGTCTCATGGGCAGAAGGAAATGCATGGTGCACTGAGCTTTTCAACTTCAGTATGTTTATATTTGCATTCTATTCTCAGGAGTTTATCCATTATTAGATGACTGTTGAGCTTCTGACACCATCAAGACACAGCCTCTTGGTTATCCAGTGAAATATACATGCTGAAGGAAAGGGTTTTGACCATTTACTCAAAATGTCTGCGTGTTGGGGAAACAGAATGGAACTTTTGAGGATTTTGAATTCTGAGAATCGGCATCCTTTCAAAGTGATTTCAAACCTTGAAGATTCTTAGGGCATGGTTTGGAAGCCTCATTCAGCCAGGAGTCAAATCAACTTCAACTCTTGGGCGCTGCATTTCAGTTGTGTTTGTGGTGCGGGGAGGGCGAAGGGATGGCACTGAAGGCAACAAGGCCCAAATGCAAATCAGAAAACAAAAATTCAGACTATTTTAGCTCCAGGTTCTTCCAACAGCAAAGACAAATACCCAAATTACCAGCATATTTTACTTCCAAGGTCTTACCACCAATACTTGAGCCTAAAGTGAGGCAAAAGAATGAACAAGTAAAAAGGAGGATGATTCCAACCTTTTTAGAAAATAGAAAAAAATGTGTAATGACCTTTGCATAAGAATGTGGAAAGGTAAGTGTCAAAAGCACAATATCTTAGTATGCAACTAACCCCACTTTGCAAGGTGCATCAGGCATTTCTGAATCTAAAATGGCAACTTCCACTTTAAAACATGGGCAATTTATAGAGATCTCCATTCACCTCTTTCTTTTCACAATGTACTTTAGAGTTAAGATTTAAGGATGGTACCCCTAAGTCATGTATTTGTGGAAAGTGGCTTCTCTTACACCACAGAGGAAAGTCTGTGACAAATGTTTGGTCTCTTTTCAGGTCTTTGGGTTGGATAACACTGATGGAGAGAAAAACTGAGTTCCCATGGGAGTGTGCACAGACCCACCTCAGTTATAATTATACACCGACAATTTCTCCTTCCCAAAATTTTGCAGAGCTGAGAGCAAACTGCACTGACATTCAAGTCCATCCTTTTCACCACAGTACATCACTCCCTTCCTACAACATTTGCATGATATTGATGGTGGCAACAATGTCAGAGACCTTTCTGCAAGCCTTTAATTAATCTCTCCTTGCCCAGAGTTTGCTACATACAAAGCACTCTCTGAGGCATCTAGCAGATCTGCAGGGAGCTTGAGTCCTTGTTCATCTGCCCCAAAAAAGAATATTTTCAAGGTCTCCTTTCTGCTGCTAGGTGGTTTCCAGTGTAAATGGAGGCCTTGGGTGTATAGTTTTGAAAGGTGTAAAAACAGGTGTTGTACCAATATAAAATTGTGCTAAGAAGATGAAGCTATCTCCCAAAACAAACAAGTAAATAGTGAGCATTCAGGAGAGAGACACAAACAACTCATGTACTTCTTCCACTGCCTTAGCATCTTTCTATTCCTTGCTTTTCCAATGTGAGAGCTCCAATGGTAGCAGAGAAGAAGAGGGCATTCCAGATGGTGGTGATGAGAATCTCAGAAAAACAATGTACCCAGAATATCCACAGTTTTCTCATGTCACAACACACACTTATCTTTGGGAGAAATGCGGGATAGCTCTTGATCTGGCATATAAAAAGGTAGGTGTCAAAAGCACAATACTCCTTGCCGTTATTCCCAAGAAGGAGCTCCACCACAGACCATGTGTCTTGTACCTCTTAGGCAGCCCATCTGAGAAGATATCCTTATATGTTTCTCCTGTGGACAGATAACAGTGTTGGTGCCACCTGTACAATGCTTAAACACAAAATAAGCAAAATATGGGTGAAGCCAACAATGTATAATTTGAGGAAGAGTACTGTTCTAAAGAAAAAAGAAAAAGAAAAAAGCAACAACTGCGCACCGGCACTCGACGCCTGAGAAGAACTGCTGCGCCTCAGCCTATGCCGAGTAGACCGCGCCGCACCGCCTGCCATTCCACCACCCACCTGGCTGTTCTGCCACACTCCTGCACGCGTTCGAGGTGTGCCGGCCGAGGCGGGACGTCCTGGGGGCTTGAAAGCCCACGGGGGGAGCCCAGCAGGAACAACAACTGCACACCGGCACGCGACGCCTGAGAAGAACTGCTGCGCCTCAGCCTACACTGAGTAGACCGCGCTGCGCTGCCCGCCATTCCACCACCCACCTGGCTGTTCTGCCACGCCCCTGCATGCGTTCGAGGCGTGCCGGCCGAGGCGGGCCGTCGGGAGCCCGGGGGCTTGAAAGCCCACGGGGGGAGCCCAGCGGGAGCAACAACTATGCACTGGCACTCGACGCCTGAGAAGAACTGCTGCACCTCAGCCTACACCGAGTAGACCGTGCCGCGCCGCCCGCCATTCCACCACCCACCTGGCTGTTCTGCCATGCCCCTGCACACGTTCGAGGCGTGCCGGCTGAGGCGGGACGTCGGGAGCCCGGGGGCTTGAAAGCGCCGGCGGCGGCCGGGGCCGGCGACCTCGGGCTGGCGGCCGAAGGGCGTCGGCCAAAGGGCGGTCGCCGCCGTTTGGGGGGGGCTGAGTGGGGGGCTGGGCTGGGCAGGGGGCTCTCACTCTCGTTGTGTTAGGCCCTCCTGCTGAGCGCTGAATTTTTTTTTTTTAATGTTTTTATAATTTTATAGTGTTTTATGGAGTTGTCCCTGGCCATGCTGCTGCTTGCATTTCCTGGGGAGCGCACCGGCGCGGCCATTGGGGTGGTGATGGGCAGAGGATGTAATTGTAGTGGGAGCTTAACGCGTCCGCATAGAAGAAGGAGGGACAGATGGTTGACACCTGTCCCTACTTCTGGTTTTGCTCCCAGCCAGAGTGTGCCAGGGATTCTTGTCAGTCGCCCCTCGGGCCTGATGGTGCTGTTGCTTAATGCCAGGTCGGTCAATAACAAATCTGCCCTCATCCATGACTTGATTGTGGATGAGGGGGCCGACCTGGCCTGCATAACGGAGACCTGGGCAGGAGAAAGGGGGGATGTGGCCCTCTCCCAACTGTGCCCACCCAGGTATCTGTTTCAGCACTGTTCCTGCCCGGAGGGGAGGGGAGGGGGGTCGCTTTGGTCTACCAAGCTTCCATCTCTCTCACGGGACTTCCTGTCCCTTCGAGACCAGGGCTGGAGTGCCTCTACTTGGTGTTGGGCAACCGAGACAGATTGGGGATTCTGTTGGTGTACCGTGCACCCTTCTGCCCAACAGTCTCCCTGCCTGAGCTGATGGAGACCGTCTCGGACCTGGTGTTGAGGACCCCCAGGATGTTGGTCCTGGGGGACTTCAATCTCCATGCTGAGACTGATCTGACCGGGGTGGCTCAGGACTTCATGGCCTGCATGACGGCCATGGGGCTGTCTCAACATGTCACCGGCAACACCCATGAACATGGACACACTCTGGACCTGGTTTTCTCGACGGGGCAGGAAGAGGGTGGTCTGAGGGTGGCGAATTTATGCTTGACTCCCCTGTCATGGTCAGATCACTTCCTCGTGAGGTTTGTGCTCGAGAGTGACCTCTCCCTCTGTAAGGGTGCGGACCCGATTGTGTGGGTCCGCCCCCGGAGCCGGATGGATCCGGAAGGATTCCTGAAGGCTCTGGGGGAGTTTCCGGCTGACAAGACGGGTGCTCCTGTCGAGGCTCTGGTCGAACTGTGGAATGGGGAGATAACCAGGGCTGTAGACATGATCGCTCCTAAGCGCCTTCTCCCACCGGGCAGAGCCCGGTCTTCCCCTTGGTATACTCCTGAACTGAGGACGATGAAGCAGGTTGGGAGACGGCTAGAGCGTAGGTGGAGGAAATCACGGGATGAATCTGACTGAACACACTTAAGAGCCCACTGTTGGGCCTATGCTGTGGCGGTGAGGGCGGCGAAAAAGAGATTTTTTTCCACTTCCATTGCCTCCTCACAATGCCGTCCGGTGGAGCTCTTTCGAGTGGTGCAAGGCCTGGTCTGTCCAGGTCCGAAAGAAGATCAGATTCCACCCTCAAAGGCCCGCTGTGACAACTTTGCCAGGCATTTCAGGGAGAAAATCGCTCAGATTCGTCACGAGCTGGATTCCACTATTGAGTCAGAGGTCTTAAGGGAGACACCGATGCTACCATCTGGTCCAGAATTATTGGATGAATTTCAGTTACTGCGGCCCGATGATGTGGACAAGGTGCTTGGACGAGTACGTCCCACCACTTTCCTTTTGGACCCTTGCCCGTCTTGGTTAATAAAGCATTCCAAGCACGGGATTGGAACCTGGATCTTGGAAGTGGTTAACGCTTCTCTGAGGGAGGGTCGGGTGCCTGCCCCTTTAAAGGAGGCGGTAGTCCGACCGGTCCTGAAGAAGGCATCACTGGATCCAGAGATGGCCACTAATTATAGACCAGTGGCCAACATCCCGTTTCTGGGCAAGGTGTTAGAGCAAGTGGTGGCGGGACAACTCCAAGCACTCTTGGATGAAACTGATTATCTGGACCCATTTCAGTCCGGCTTCAGACCCGGGTACGGTACTGAATGTGCCTTGGTTGCCCTGTACGATGCCCTGTGCAGGGAGAAGGACAGGGGGAGTGCATCCCTGTTGGTTCTCCTGGACCTCTCGGCGGCTTTCGATACCATCGACCATGGTATCCTTCTGGATAGGCTTGCGGGATTGGGGGTCGGAGGCACTGCTTTGCAGTGGTTCCACTCCTATCTCAATGGCCAATTCCAGAAGGTGGTGCTGGGGGACTATGGCTCTGCACCATGGCAGCTATGCCATGGAGTACCGCAGGGGTCCATTTTGTCCCCCTTGCTGTTTAACATCCACATGAAACCGCTGGGAGAGGTCATCAGGAGGTGTGGGCTGCGGAATCACCAGTACGCTGATGATACCCAGCTCTACCTCTCGTTTTCCACCAATCCAGGTGAGGCAGTGGCTGTACTGAACCGGTGCCTGGCTGAGGTAATGGGCTGGATGAGGGCCAATAAACTGAAGCTCAATCCAGACAAGACGGAGGTCCTGTTGGTAGGCGGTTCTGGCTTCGGAGAAGGTGAATTGAACCTTGTCCTGAACGGGGTTGCACTCCCTCCTAGGGATAAGGTCCGCAGCTTGGGAGTGCTCCTCGACCCAGAGCTTTCACTCGAAGCTCAGGTAACAGCAGCGGCGAGGAGCGCTTTCCTCCAGCTTCGGCTGATTCATCAGCTGCGCCCCTATCTGGAGTACGACAGCCTCGCAACAGTGACTCATGCACTGGTGACTTCCCGTCTTGACTTCTGTAACGCGCTCTACGTGGGGCTACCCTTGAAGACAGTCCGGATACTTCAGTTGGTTCAAAATAGAGCTGCCAGGCTGCTGACGGGAACTGGACGTTATGCTCACATGACTCCAGTTCTCTGGCAGCTTCATTGGCTTCCCATTGAAGTCCGGGCCCAATTCAAGGTGTTGGTGATGACCTATAAAGCCCTAAACGGCTTGGGTCCTGGTTACCTGAAGGAGCGCTTACGTCCATATATGCCCAGTTGCCCCTTGAGATCAGCGGGAGAGGCCCTCCTCCGGGAGCCCTCAGTGAAGGAAATTAGGAGGGTGGCTACTCGGAGGAGGGCTTTCTCAGCGGTGGCGCCTAAGTTATGGAATGCGCTCCCCAGAGAGGTCTGCCTGGCGCCATCGTTATTTGTTTTTCAGTGCCAGGCGAAGACCTTTTTATTTAAGCAGCATTTTTAATGTTAATAGTATTGAATTTTATTCAGCCAGGGCGGCTTATTTTATTTTACTGTATGTATTTTAATTGTTATTGTTTTAACGTATTTTGTATTTTATTTGATATTGTAAGCCGCCCCGAGGCCTCGGCAAGGGGCGGCATAGAAATGTTTTAATAAATAAATAAATAAATAAATATGTTTGATACATTCAAATCATTTCAAAATCACTTCCTTCATTTATTTATTTATGCCTTTTATAGACCATCTATCTACTAGCATCTCGGGACAGGTTACTACATAGCACAGATAAAAACAGGGCACCTGAAGAAGGTCCTCTGCCTCAGATCACAAGGGATGGTATGGCATATAGGGAAGGTGATGCTCCTTCAGGTAGCAAGGATCCAAGTAATTTATGGCTTTAGAGGTCATCACCAGCACCTGAAATTTGGCCTGGACTTCAATTGGCTGCCAATGTAGGTGGTAAAGGACTGACATTATATGTGAATACCTGCCAGTCCCTGTTAATATCCGGGCAGCTCTATTCTGAAACAACTGAAGTATCCGAACTGCCTTAAGGACTGTCCCACATGGAGTGCATTACAGTAATCCAGTTGGGAAGTTACCAGGAAATGGGTACCTGCTGCTAGACATTGCTCATCCAGGTAAGGATGCAGTTGGTAAATCAGCCAAAGCTGAAGAAAAGCATTCCTCACCACCACTGCCAGCTGAGATTCTAGTGACAGCTCTGGATCCAGGGGCACTCCCAAACTGTGCACTCTGTCCTTTAGGTGGAGTGCAACCCCATCCAGAACAGGGCTAATATCACTCACCTGGAAGGCTGAACCACCCACCAACAGAACCTCCATCTTGTCTGGATTAAGCCTCAATTTATTGGCCCTCATCCAGTCCATTAACACAGCCAGACACTGGTTAAGGACAACCACTGCCTCAACCGGACTGGATGTAAAAGATAGGTAGAGCTGGGTGTCATCAGTATACTGGTGACTCCACAGCCCAAACCTCCAGATGATCTCTCTCAGTCATTTCATGTAGATGTTGAAAAGCATGGGAGATAAAATGGAACCCTGTGAAACTCCATGGCAAAGCTTCCATGGCACAGAGCCATAATCCCCCAGGACCACCTTTTGGAATCAGCCAGCCAAGTACAAGTGGAACCAATGCAAAGCCATACTTCCAATTCCCAACATTGCCAGCTTATACAGAGGGATGCCATGGCTGCTGGTAACCAAAGCTGCTGAGAGGTACAGGAGAATTAACAGGGATGCACTCCCCCTGTCCCTTTCCTTGCCAGGGCTGAAGCAAGATTGAAATACTTCTAGGTGGTCCATTTCCTCCAAGATCACCTGGAGTTGTCCGGACACCACCCACTTGAGCACCTTACCCAAAAATGGGTTTAGTCAACAGCCTATATCTGGCAGCTATCTCTGGGTCTGGGTTGGCTCTGTTCAGTACAGGCCTAATCACTGCCTCCTTCAAAGGGGCTGGGACCCAACCCTCCCTCAGAGAGGCATTGATAACCTCCTGGACCCAGGTACATATCCCATCTTTGGTTCTGAAGAGCAGCCATGTGGAGCAAGGGTCAAGCAGACAAGTGGTGGATTAGACTAGTCCCAACACCTTGTCCACAGCCTCAGACTGCAACAATTGAAACTTATCTAATAAAGATGGACCAGACGGTGCTCTGGACACTTTCTGATCTAAAACCATGTCAGCTGTGAGTGATTTTATCCCTAAAGTGCTGGGCAAAGACTTCACAGTGAGCTATTGAAGATGCAACGAAGTCCTTTTTAGGCCCAGAATGTAATAGACCCTGCACCACCCAAAAGAGCGCAGCTGGGCAGCACTGTGAGGATGCAATGGAAGTGGAGAAGAATTCCTCCTTCGCCGCCCTCACCACCACAGCATAGGCTCGATAATGAGATGTAAGATGTGCTCAGATTCATCACAGGATTTTCTCCACCTATGTTCTAATTGTCTCCCAGGCTGTTTCATCACCTGAAGCCCAGTCATATACCATGCTTCCAAGCAGGCTTTGCATGACAGGAGAGGACACTTAGGAGCTATCGTGTCTATTGCCCCAGTCATTTCTGCATT